GAAGACAGCCACAGGTCACCAACTGCCCAAAAAGTGTCCCCAAAGGTGAAGGCAATGGATAGAAAACAGTCTCAAGAGAAACTCATGGTGCAAATGTGAAAGCCTCCACAGGACCTCAGGAATGATGATGAAATTCTCTTATTTCTGCTTAAAGAGTTCCTCTCAAACTACCAGATGAACTCTGCTTCCTCTTTTAATAATAAAAATAATTGTTTATGCTCCATTTCTGATTGGAAGAGACTCTGGAGGTATGTGCCTATTCAGTGGCAGGATTTTGATACTGCAGGAAGAAATACTCCACAGTAGGTATATGCCAAAACTGAGATGTAAGTGTCCCTGAGCATTATGAGACACTTTGCCTGCAAAGGACAGGACACCCTGACTGCACCACACCACCCTGCAGCATAGACAGTGCAATGAGTCTGACTTCTGCATCAGTAAGACCCAAGAGCTCTTCAGACTGCACGTGTGAGTGCAACACAAACCAGTTTTATTGGAAGAATGCTTCCAACAATGCTCCTAAAAACCCATTTTCCATCTCCTTTCAGCAGACCAGGCAATGTATTTATTTTTACAAACATATGTGGCATTTTAGTCCAAGCACCAGTTCAGTTTTGTAATCAAAAGACTCACAGAAGCTTGGTTTGAAAGCAGAGATCACTCAACACTTTCTTCTACATAAAAAAATGTATCATGATCATTAATGGCTGGTCACTAGGAAGGGAAGTAATTTAAGCACTGAAGTACTGAACAAAGAGCACAGAGAACATACCTTCATTATTTTTGAAGTCTTCATGTAAAATAGGAAGATCAAGTCTGATTCGCTTCAGGCAGGTCTGCAAAGGAGATTAAAATACTGGTATTTCATCTCCAGTTCATTTCTTGTTCAACACCAGGAGTAGTGTAAAACCACAGCAAATTCATTTTATACTTTAGTACCCTGACAAAATGTTCTTTTCACTCCATGTCTATTTGACATACAACTTTCAACACTCTGGACTGCTTTCCCAGTCCTTTGTCTCTCACTCAGCCACATTCTTCATCAGTCTGGCAGGTTCAAACATTACAAACCAACCAAAACCACCAAACCCAACCAGTTCCAGCACTCTTAAGCAAGTTACTGTAGTTAAAGGTACCCTGAAAAAGCTGAAGCCAATTCTCTGAAGTATTAATTCAAATAAAGAAAGGTTTCAACCTTTTATATTTAGATATATCTAAATATAAACTTAAATACTGGAAAGAGCTTTAAATAGAAGTTAATTGAAATAACATTATACTTCTTAGCAGTGTACACAACTAAACTCTTATTTTGTTGGATAATTGATCTCCTAAATCTACCTCTTGGACTATTCCATATGGGATGAAGACAAACTGACAGGAGTGACACATACCTGAACTTCTTTTTTGTTTCCCAAAGCCTCCACTCTGTCAATAAAATCCTCAAACTGCAATTTTGGGAAGAGTCTGTGGGCCCAGTGCTCCATATGTTGTATGAGTGTCTTCAGGTCTTCTGCCTGGAGCATAGAAGACAACACCCAGCTAATAAAAGGTGAGCAAGTCAGGAGACTGCAGAGCCAAATGGGACAGGAACATTGCTGAAAACATTAGGCATCTGCAGCTTCCAAGCTGTAATGTGTGGGTAACCTTCCCTTCCTCCTCCCACAGTCACCTCAAAGTGTGATTTCAGGCTATGAGAACAGCAGCAATACAAGTTCAGCGGAGCATTTGCATGTCCTGTACACCTGCCATGCTCCTGCAGACCTGCCCTGAACCAACCCAGGTCTGAACCCAGACTCAACAATCCATCAGGGAACAGCTGGAATTCTGACATTTGGAACACAGATAGAAGTGTACATTGAAATCATCTCATGTAGCAAAGATTTCTGCACATTTTTTGCAGTATTGCTCAGTTTCTTTGTGTCTCCAGTGGTAATGAGGAATTTATGCCATGAATGCTCTCTGTAAACCAGAGGGCACAGGTGTACTTGCAAGTGTGCCAAGAGAATCATGGAATTGTTTGGGTTGGAAAAGACCCCTAAGATTACTGAATCTAACCATTCCCCACCACTAACCATATCCCAAGGTGCCACATCCACATGTCTTTTAAACACCTCCAGGGATGGTGACTCAAATGCTTCCCTGGACATTCTGTTCCAATGCTTGTGAACCCTTTCAGTGAAGAAAATTTTCTTAATATCCAGTCTAAATCAGCCTAGACATAGGATATGTGTATGACCTGTTACTCAGGAGAAGAGACAAACCCCCACCTGGACACAACCAATAATCTAATGATACTTAAAGAAACATAAGCTTTGTGTTTTTACCCAAAAGAATATGATATCTTGTAGAGCAAATGCTGCTTTCTCTCTACTTCCAATGCTAGGGACAGGGCTATCAACAACCAGAATATTTTCAAATACTGCTAGACAGCTGCTAACCACAGATGACTATCAACTCTCCCTTTATCAGATGGGCAGAAATCTATCAAATCTAGATGAACCTCCCAGGAAACAAACCAAATCTCACCAAGCCTTACCTCGTGCCCTTTCCCCTTGAACTTCACGTTGTCAAACATGTGCCTCAGGGCTGGCAGTCCTCGTTCAGAAATTAACCTGGCAATAGGAAGTGGGGGGAGTTTTAAAACTGGTACTTTCTTCTTCTAATTAACAACAAAGCAAAACCCCAAAACCTCCTCAAACACACACCCTCTCACATGCCTTTAAACAGCTAAAGCCACAGAGCTATTTGGAATATGTACAGAATTAGATATCATCAAGAAAATGCACAAAACATGATAAAAACTGCTGCAAATTACAAGCCAATTTTTAACTGGTGTTTTTTTTCATTGATCATACCTGTATTCCTAGTCCAAGGAGTTTTTCCTTTGGATTACATGGAAAGAAAAGGGAATGGTCAGTTCTAGTATCTATATTGGCCACAAATACAGTTAGATGTGTGACCAGAATATCCACCTGTGGTGTCACTGCCTAACCTCATCAGTGTCTTTCAAACAGAAGAAACCAATCTCAGACTCTTTCCACTGATTATAGAGAATTTACACCAGTTTTAGAGATAACAGCAAAGAAAAATACCAGAATCTTTATACAGGGCTCATCCAGTTTGGACATAAATCAGGAGTAAGTGTCCTTTATGTAGTCTTACAGTCACCAGTACACTGAGGTTTTATTTTGAAGCAGACTTGAATTATATCAAGAGATGTACAGTTCTATGCCTGAAGCAAAATAAAGATGTTTAATGTCTAAACAACAAAAACGTCTCAAGTAAATAAATATGTAAAAGTTAAAGTATCAGACATGTAGTGACTGCCAAGAAGACTTCAAGAACTGTGACTAGTCACAGCATTATACAGGTATAAGGAAAGGCAAGGAATACACAGGCAAGGAATGAAAGTTCAGAGACAGCATCCAAGAGTATCCTCTTCCCAATCTCCTGACCAAACAGGGATCACAGGAACCTTAACCCTTCTCCCACAGACTTATTCCAAATTCAACACACAAAGAAATATTCTGTCAAAAATTACCTCTGAGCATCAAGTTTAGGCATTGGTCTCTTAACTGCTCTCCATGTGGGCACAGCAGAGTCTTTTGTCTGGGACTGCTGGTTTCCACCTGGACCCAGTAAGGAAAATGACACACTTTCAGTAGATAATGCAACTGACATCAACTAGAATTGCACCATGTGCATTGTAAGCTTCTACCCTGACAGAAGTATTCCACTGCAGGTACTGTACTCCAAAATAACACCTGCAGGTTTCACCTTGCTTCCTCCACAGGACACACTGGAAACAAACCCTGCTCTTCAAAATATACCGAGGAATCAACTCCTCTAGCAAAGTTGGCTCCATGAAAGTGACACTTTCATTTTAGAACTTCTTGATTGTATTTCAGATGAGAAATGTATTGGGAGCAGATGCTACTTCTAAAGGTCACGAAACTCAAGTTATCAATAAACATAATTTGACAGGCATGTCCCAAAGTCTCCACTGTGAGATCTGACAGACAGACCTAAAGCACCAGCAGGGCCTTCAAAAAATGAAGAGGTGACATGTGACAATAATCAACGTGTCTCTTAAGAACCAAATACTTTTTGTCTAGGACCTGCAACAGACAAGGCACCACTGCCCATCTCATCTCAGAGGTAGCAATTAGTTATCAGACTGATCCCTTGGCTTACTTTTTGCTACTTTAACCATCAGTAATCTGAAGTTCTTTTCACATATTAAGGAGTTAAATCTAACCAAAATCCTATTTTCTAGTGAACTGACAGAGCAAAGATCAAGGAAAACATGTTTGACACTAGAGGCATATATGAGCAAATATAAACAATAGTTAAAAGTAAAATCTTTCCACTATTACTTCTTCAGTAGACTCTTAAGTTCTTTTCAAATCCTCAAATAATTAAGTTTTACTGTCCTGAAGTATCTTGGATTTCCCCCAGGACATATCATCTTCAAAATCTACTAATATCTCCCTGGAATATTACAGGAAACACTCTTCTCTCTTCTAAAACCCAAGTCACAAAGGACAACTATAGATCATCATATAATCTCTGTAAACATTTTGTCAGAAGAGCTTGAATTCAAATCTACAAAAATACACTTTTCCTACAAGTTGGAAAGCATAGAATGATTCACAATTTACATTCACAAGTTGTTCTCTGACCACTTTTATGCAGCAAACTGAAGGTAACAAAGTACACCACCACCAACTTAGATCACACAGCATCACAAGAGGATTTCTAGGGGTCACAGGTGTTCACCTCCACTAGGCTGAGCCCAATCAGCATCATGTCTTCCTGGGGACGAAGGAGGAGGGAGAGGTGGGAATGTCTCATCCTCTGTGTTGTCATCATCAGGAAGATGAAACAAGTTGTTCTCCAAATAATCTGCCATTGACACAAAGAAGGTCCTGTAAAGAACACCAAAAGCACTAAGAGAGAAGCAGTGAGGCTGCCACAGAGGCAGATAAATATCCCATACACGCCGTGTGTCTGCAGCTTTCGCTGATAAAGACTTCCCAACCAGAAACCAGGTCACATCACACAAGTTAAGCAGCAGGTACCATAGAGAGGGATGACACAACCCAACCCCCCTAACAAAATAAGGTTTGTCATGTTCCAACCTGCCAGAGTTGGAGTCACAGGAGTAAATCAAGACGCATGGATTACCCACACAGCTGTGTGACACATCCCTGACACGCTGGGAGGTGCTAATTCCCCGAACTCACAGCTTACCCACTCCCAAACGCAGGCTGGAGGAGGATTACCCTGTCCCAGCTCCTCCAGCGAAGCTAATTCCAGGGACTCCAGCACAGGCAGATTTGGGATGAGGCTCCAGGAACGACTCTGCTTTATAGGAAGGTTCTTCCTCAGATCGTTTCAGCAAGGAGAGGACACTCCAAGCAGCTCCTACACTGCCCTAAGGCAATGCTATCCCGACCCCATGAGGGAACCTGGGGAAGGCTACAAGGGATCCCGGGGAAGGATGCGAGGGAACCCGGGGAGGGATGCGAGGGAACCCGG